CGGGGGGGGGGGGGGTTTATTCAAATTGGAGAATTTGGGACCATATATGACAGATCATTCTTCTTGAGGTCTGAAACATAAAACAATAAAGTCAGGGGGCATATAGTAATAAGTGTAAAGTGTGATATTGTTCGTTACTAATTCAGTAGGGTATTTTAGTCATTAAAGAAGAGAAATCGAGGTTGTCTCTCCCGTGTGGACTCTCCTCGCAGAAATCCGAGACAACCTTTCGTCTTCTTTCCCTTCTTCTTGCAAAACTACAAAACCCTAATTTTCCTTTCCTCGTAATCTTAGGGATACACGTACATAGGCATGAATGTCTTGGTGTATCAATGCTCTTGGTAGATGGTTGGAGATTTGGGATTGATTTCCAAGGATTGAGGCGATTTAGGGTTTCCTTGTTCTAGTAGAATCGATGGCGAAAGATACGGTGGCGGACGAGTTCGTGGTTGTTTCACAGGTTCGGACAGGGTTGAAGAGAGAGTTGCAGTTTGTCTTGAGGTCCCAGTCGGAGATCTGCGGTGGCGAGTATCTGGGTAGGACCAGGGCGAGGAAAAACCTAAATTGCGAATCCGGTTTTACGGAGAAGAAGGCATCCAACGGCGGTTCTGATTTGAAATACGCGAGGAAGAAGTGGCGTGTTGGGAAGGTTGGGAAAGGGGATGTTCTTGATAAATCTGATGGCGCAGGAGGTGGTGCTCTTGAGGAAGATGAAGCTAAGAGTGATATTGTCGATTTTGACGAAGCAAAGGGAGATTCTGTTGAATCGGAGAGTAAGAGATCATTAGGTGACAATGTTGAGGATTCTGCTTTGGTGGATTCTTTGGAACCCATGTGTGAAGATGAGGTACACGAAGAAAAGAAAACACACGAGGAAGACAATTCACCCGAATCTGGTAAAGGCGAAGAAGTGAATGAGAGGATGGAGAATGGGTTAGTGGATAAACCTTTGAGGAGGTTTACAAGGTCTTTAATGAAACAGGAAGGGGATTCTAACAATTCTAATATCAGAAAAATTACCAAGCCAGAGAATTTGGGCGAAGTAAAAGACGAGGTCGGTGAATTTGATACACATGATGCTCGAAGTCTGAAGAAACTTCACAGGAATTTTCCGGCAAGGTTGAAAGATCTTTTAGGTATGGGAATACTTGAGGGACTTACTGTGTACTATCTTCGAGGAGCAAAGGTATATACAATGATCCTGATTTGTCTTTAATGGGAATTTCATTTTTTTATTGAGACTCTTAATCCTTCTATTGATGGCGTGAATGGCTGATATGACTGCCATTCTCATAGACAAGAGAGGCAGGGACTGCAGGGCTTAAAGGAGTGATTACGGGCTCTGGTATTTTGTGTTTTTGCAGTGCTTGCAAAGGAACTCAAGTAAGCAATGCCCAGTATTCTTTACATAATAATAAATGGCGTTGCCAAATGCTCGTGGTGTTGCCAAATGTCAAACCTTGGAGATGCTACTTTTATAGGTTGTGAGTCCCAATGTGTTTGAGTCACATGCCTCTAGCCCAAACAAGCGGCCACCTGAGTATATCTTGCTGGAGACAGGAAATACACTTCGTGACGTCATGAATATATGCAGAAATTCATCCTTGGCTACTTTGGAAGGAAAACTTCGGGTGGCTGTTGGGCCAACCATGAAGAAATCTAGCATGTGCTTCAATTGCCAAGGTTGCTGATGGTTCATCGACTTTGGTACTTTATAAGGACCCTTTGAAATCAACTTATCTCTTATCAAATAACTTAAAACTGGTACACATCTAATGGGTTGCAGGATCATTGACCGAGACTTGGGATACAAAGACATTGATCTTGTGTAAATTGTGCTTGGAGATAGAGGAGCATGAAAAGGTGCCTCAAACCAGTTCTCCTAAAGTGTGTGGCAATGTTGAGATGTATGGTTCTAAATCTCCAGTTGAAACTTTATCTGGTGTTTTTAAGAGCACAAAATCAATAGACGAATGCACAAATAGCCAACTTAGGTGAATATCTGTTGGTCTAGATGGGAGGTAAAATTAAAAAGTGGATTATTTTATTTTATGACTATCTGACATGGATTGTGTTATAGACCCTCGATTATGTGGTTCTCTTCGTAGAATGCGCATGATTCCCCTCTTGTGTAGTGCAGACATTTAGTATGCTACTTAGTTTGTTAGCTATTAAGTTAAATTTTCTTTCTGGGTTTCTGCAGATTGCCAGAGCCAAGAGTTGTTCCAGAAACTATTCCAAGTGAGTCAAAATCCAGCCCACTCAAAAGCAACAGCAAAGAAAGACTAACCAGAAAGTGAGTGGTGTATAGGAGTGATGGCATTTACGTTATGTGCTGGTTTCTAGTACTGTATTTTTCTGTTAGTTTTCCCATATCTGTTAAAGTTTGATTAGTTCTAAATCTGAGTTTGTATCCTTTGGAAAGGGATCTGCATTCCCCTGAGCCAAAGGTGGTTCCAGAAACTCTTCCAAGTGAGTTAAAATCCAGCTTACTCAAAAGCAACGGGAAAGGAAGACTAACCAGAAAGTGAGTAGTGTCTAAACGTGATGTCATTTACCTAATGGATTGCTTTCAGGTGCTGGATTGATCTGTTAGTTTGGCACTGTATTTTTATTTTGATTAGTTCCAAAAACTGTTTTCTATTGTTTGATAGGGATTTGCGGTTGCACAAGTTGGTTTTCGAGGATGATGTACTGCCAGATGGGACTGAAGTCGGCTATTATGTTGCTGGAAAGGTTCGATTTGACATGGCTTTTCTGGTTGATTTTAGGTTTTTTTTTGTAATTTACTTCAAGCATATTTGTTCTTATGCAGAGAATGCTTGTTGGCCATAAGAAGGCATTTGGCATACATTGTTCTTGTTGCAACACAGTGGTAAATTTTCTACCACCTCATCTCTTGCATTCCTGGTTGGTGTTGAGTTCTGAATTGATATTAATCTCCCTATGGGACCAGATCAGTCCTTCTCAGTTTGAGGCTCATGCTGGTTGCGCAAGTCGTCGGAAGCCGTAAGTCCCTTGTATTTTTTCAAATGTTGATGTTCTATGTCTGTATGTATAATGTGTTCATTCTTTACTGTGGCTTGAGTATTTCTCGGCAATGATCTACTTTCCAATGTTTCTACTGTGGTTAAAAAGAATATGCTAAGAATAATTTAGTTTTTCATCTCTTTACTGAATAGATTTCAGCACATTTATACAACTAATGGGGTATCTCTGCATGAGCTATCGGTAGCACTATCAAGAGACCATAAGTTTTGTGTCCAAGAAAATGATGACCTTTGCAGCATTTGTAAAGATGGAGGTGACCTCTTGTGTTGTGATACCTGTCCAAGATCATTTCATACATGTCAGTTTCTTGGACTTTCCCATTTTCTTGTTGAATTGAGTTTATGTTTTGTTGGTGTCCCCTTAACTGAGGTTTCCTGGTTATTTCTTTGTTTCTGTACCAGTATGTGCTTCTCTATCAAGCCTTCCATCTGGGAGGTGGTCCTGCAAATATTGTACAAATATGTTTTTGAGAGAAAAATTTGTGGAGTGTAATGCCAATGCCTTAGCAGCTGGAAGGGTTTTAGGAGTTGACGCGATTGCTGAAATAACCAAAAGATGCATTCGAATTGTAAGTTCTCTTGGAAGTGGGCTCCCAAGTGTATGTGTGTTATGCAGGTGAGTTTCAGGCTTTTGATCTATTATATTGTTTTGTATATCCAGTTGTTCACCTTCTTACTCGAGCATTGGTGAATTACTTCCTGGTACAATCATAAAGACTTGTAAGAAGAGCTGTATTCTTCTGAACTTCGTTTGGAAAAATGTGTTACCACGTCTTCTCTTCCCACTAGCCCTTTGCATGTTGCTTATATTTGGAAGAGAGTCTGTTTATGCATTCGTTACATCTCGTCATATTGGTATATTTTTTCCTTCTGAACTCGAACCTTAATTTTCTTGATGCTGCAGAGGTCATAGTTTCAGTAGGTTGGGCTTTAATCCTCGAACCGTGATTATTTGTGATCAGGTATTTTGTTGTTTGTTTGCTGAGTAATATACTCTATTTAAGACAAAAAAAATAGGCTACATCTGGGAGCTTAAAACCTCATCTTCTATATTCTGCAGTTTGGTTTTCACTATTTTGTTTCCTATATTTTTCTAGTGTGAGAAGGAATTCCATGTGGGCTGTTTGAAAGAACACAAGATTGCTGATCTTAAGGTGCTCTTCCTGGTCTATGCTTCTTTCTTTTTTTCCTCTTTGTTTTTCTTCAGGCAAGACCCATAATCTTTCCAAAGTGTTTGTTCTTTTGCTTTCATCCTAGTTTTGTTGACATGGTTATCTAACAGGAGTTACCTGAAGGACGATGGTTCTGTTGCTGTGACTGCGAGAGGATCCATACTTCATTGCAAAACCTGATAATTCACGGAGATGAGATGCCCGATAACAACTTTCTGAATTTTATAAGGAAAAAGCGAAAACCTAGTGAAGAAGATTGTTCAGACGATAGCACTGATTTAGATATTAAATGGAGGGTCCTTAGCGGGAGATTGGCTGCTTCTGATTATGATATGAAAACACTGCTTGCAAGGGCAGTCTCAATCTTTCATGTAAGTACAGGTCGTCTGTAGGCCATGTGGATAATACTCCAATATATAAAAACTGGCTAAAACATTTTCAGACTTGTTGTCCTATTCATCTGAGCTGCTTTTGTGAAGTTTTAACCTTTTTGTTTGTCTTTCAATGATGTAGGAGCGGTTTGATCCGATCAGTGAATCTGGAACTAGAGGAGATCTCATCCCAGCAATGGTCTATGGGTAAGCATTGTTATTTTCTTTGATCAGTTGCATGCTCATTTTGATCACCCAATGAGTAATGAAACTGCGTTTTTTGCCTGGGAGCACAGGAGGCAAGCAAAAGGCCAAGATTTCAGTGGCATGTTTTGCATCATGTTGACTGTGAAGTAAGATTGTTTTCTTATTGAGTCTTATCCTGGGTTTTCGGCATAAAGACTTTTAGATTTATCATTTTGTAATCACTGGGTTATGTATTGATTGTGCGCAGTCAGGTGATTGTGTCGGTAGGAGTCTTCAGGATTTTTGGATCAGAACTTGCTGAACTTCCTCTGGTGGCTACCAGCAGTGACTGTCAAGGGCAGGTAATCGTTTTTCATGCATAGGGCAAAAAAAAGCTCACTTCTTTTGGCATTTTCCACAACAGCGGAGGACCTTCCCGAGAAAATGAGAAATGTGTAAAAAGGGTTAAAACTTAAAAGTCAATCCTCTCTTATCAATCCGAATTTCCTCCACGTGTAGGGTTACTTCCAATGCATGTTTGGTTGCATCCAGAGGCTGATGGGTTTACTGAAGGTGAAACACCTCGTGCTTCCAGCAGCTGACGAAGCCAAATCCATCTGGACCGACAAATTTGGCTTCACCAAGATGACCCCGGAGGAGGTAAGTTCAAATCTCTCAATGATTTCAACTGCTTCTACTGCTAGTAGTAGTACTATTTCTACAACTGATAAAACTCTTGTCTTGTGGTGTGGGTTATTTAAGGTGAATGAATACAGGAAAGATTTCCAGGTGATGGTTTTTGAAGGGACATCGATGCTGAGAAAGCCAGTTCCTGAGACAGGAGCAGTAACTAATTGAGCATCATTGATCTTCCTAATGGCAGCAGGAGAAGCTTTCACCATATTTATTCCGACCCTTTTTCATTGTTTATGCTAAGGCAATGGAGGGAGGCCCCCTTTGGTGTTCCTTTCTACCTGTACAGGTGTTTTTTCCTCTTGTTTCTGTACAGCTCTCTCTCTCTGATCATACATAGAGAGAGAAAATTCTTTTTTGGTAAGAGGGAGAGGAGAGTCATTCTTTGGATTTGTATGGGTTGGGATTCGAATCAATTTTTTTTTTTTGGAATTACTATTGTGTAAAGGGCATATTCTCTCCTTTCTATTGCTGAAAGAAGGTAAAGGAAGTGATAAATTTTCATAGAAATCGCTAGTATATCGTTCCAATATCAGATTTTGGGATGTGCAGACCGGAATCTTAACCGGTTCGGTCACATCTGTACACAGATTTAGACTACTTTACCAGACCACAACAACACAACACCATAGATGAGGATAAGGAAGGCTTCACATGAATCAATCGCACTCCAAGAGAAATTACATTATTTCAACCAGAAATACAAGCCTAAAATAGCATCCACCAAAACCTGTCTTCTTAGTCCAATTCCAGCACCAGGGCTTAAACATTGTATCAGTATCATGCCAGTAGGGAACTTATTTTCAAGCGTAGGCAACGACGAAACCCTAAAAACATGATTCTCGACCACTCGTCACATTGACCATGATTTTAGAAACTACTAAAAACTTCAACTTAGAATTTGACATTAAGCAAATGTTCTTTACACAACCTTTAAACAGTCCGCTTTTAAATCTATCAAGAACCCATAAACATCCGCTTTCGCCAATACGAAACCTAAGTCAAACTTTGATTGTAAAAAAAATGGTTCCCGTCGCTTCAACTTAACTTTGCAAAGTTGAAAATTCGCGAATACACCTGCACCGACAAGAATGATTTCTACAAAGCAACCCAGAAAGAGTATAACAATGCAATGCTATATTCACTGAGACGCAATCATCTAACGGATACATGCATTCGAAAAACACAAAGAGGGCAAAGAAGTACCGAGATATCTGATCGAGAGTGAAGCGAGAGGGATCGGAGAAGAAATCTTTGAGGCGAATGGGCTGAGCGTCGCGGCCATCGTGGAGGAGCTCGAACGCGGTCACGAGGTAGTTCTCCTCCAGGAGGGAAGTTAATTTTTGATCCTTCTCCAAGCCCAATGACATTAGCCCATTAAGAAGCCCACATTTGTATTTTACTAAAACAAATAACACATCTCAATATTTTGTCAAATCCAACAATAGACTAAATAATCTACGATAATAGAAGTTTGAATAATTGGTGAAAATAAATGTTTCAATTTTCGGGCTTTCTCAGCCCAATAAGGTTTGTTAATTTATTTTTGATCCTTCTCCAAGCCCAATGACATTAGCCCATTAAACTAAGCCCACATTTGTATTTTACTAAAACAAATAACACAGAAGATTCCTTTTTTAAAAGAACAGAGAGGTATTTCCAGTTGATTTCTGCTCTATGTTACTGCAATTTCATAATGGACGAATAAAAAAAACCCAAATTCAATATTATATAAAACAAACGAGGATAATTAGTCAGGGCTTCTCGCCCACGTAATTGCAATTAACGAAAACACTAGCCCATCAACAACGACAAACGAAACTAAACTAATGGCGGTGGCGAGGGTGGTCACGATTCCCAGGATAAACAGCGCCAGGTAGATAGGATCTAGGGAGCAACCACCCGCGTCGTGTGATGGCTTCCCCTTGGGGAGACTCGATCTCGGGCCGCGTCTTGGATGCCTGCCGTCTGGGAGCCCTGCCTCTAGAGTGAGAGGCCCCTGCTGCACCGAAGAAGCCAAAAAGGAAAACGTTGATGAGAAGGAACATAGAACAAAACGAAATAGAAATTAATTACCTGGGAACAGAAGGGGCGGCGGCGGAGCTGACACGGGCGCTGTGTATATATAAATATATTTGTATGTATGTATATATATATTTGTATAGATGTGTGTATATTTATGTGTATTTTTTATTTTGTATATATATATATATATAGACTTCGTGGCCTGCCACATCAGCCGTTAACGGATAATTTAACACCGTTTCGGATTGTGTAGTAAATTACAGTAAAATTGGGTAATTCGTGTACGAATTTGGGACATTTGATAATATAGTGTAGATTTTTATCAAATTAAAAATTCGTGTAGTAAAAGGTCACTTTTTATTAATTCTGTATAGGAAAATTTTAGTTTTCGATATATATAAAACAAAAGAGAAGAATTCGCAAGGCTTCTCGCCGATGGAGTTGTCAGGGGGTTGTAGTTGCAAGTAATGAAGATACCAATGACATTAGCTCATTAATAATGATCAACAAAACTAAATCGGACAGATCGTAATGACGGCGACGGTAGAAGAATTTGAAGATTGCGGTGTCCAGAGTCGTCACGATGCCCATAAAATATATATATAACAGGAAAACAAGTGTCGTTTTCAGTGTTTATACTTGTTGATATAAACATCCTCACTCCACTAAGTCCACTTTATCCAAAAAAAAAAAAAAAGAATTTCAAAGTGATTCCGACAACTGTTTCATTGGGTTGGCATCACTAGGATCTGTTCTCGAGTTTCAGAAGCCTATACTGTTTTCGAATTGATAAAATAGCCCAAGTATTATGGGCCTATCTTAATTGATCAATTTATGGTTTAAATAATTTTTTCACTTTATTTTGTGTATTCCTCTCTATTTTTTTTTACGAATTACCATTCATATGTTTTCCATTGTTATATTGTAAGTTTAAATTTAAATTGGAATTTTACCATATAATTATATAAAAGGAAAATTCTACATTGCTCATCAACTCCTTGGGATATTTCTTCTAAAAAAATACTAAAACATATAAACACATTGAAATAATTACAAAAATTAACGCTGAAAAGTTAAATAGAAGTTTGAATAATTGGTGAAAATAAGGTTTGTTAATTTATTTTTGATCCTTCTCCAAGCCCAATGACATTAGCCCATTAAACTAAGCCCACATTTGTATTTTACTAAAACAAATAACACAGAAGATTCCTTTTTTGAAAGAACAGAGAGGTATTTCCAGTTGATTTCTGCTCTATGTTACTGCAATCTAAACCACCAAATTCAGATTGACAAAAATAAAAAATTAAAAGAAAAATTTAACGAAGTAATCAGTTTGTGTCATAATAATATATTAAAATACACTTTGACAAAAAAAATTTATAAGTTTTAAAAATAAATTATATCTTTTTTTACATGTATAACTATAAACCATAAAAAATATTTATTTTGTTATACAACAAAACACATATTTTGTAGCTTATTTATTACTATTATACGACTATTGTACGATTAGTTTATTATATAATTAAGACTTTTGAATTTTATAAAAATGTAAAAAAACGTTTAGACTTCGTGGCCTGCCACATCAGCCGTTAACGGATAATTTAACACCGTTTCGTATTGTGTAGTAAATTACAGTAAAATTGGGTAATTCGTGTACGAATTTGGGACATTTGATAATATAGTGTAGATTTTTATCAAATTAAAAATTCGTGTAGTAAAAGATCACTTTTTATTAATTCCGTATAGGAAAATTTTAGTTTTCGATATATATAAAACAAAAGAGAAGAATTCGCAAGGCTTCTCGCCGATGGAGTTGCCAGGGGGTTGTAGTTGCAAGTAATGAAGATACCAATGACATTAGCTCATTAATAATGATCAACAAAACTAAATCGGACAGATCGTAATGACGGCGACGGTAGAAGAACTTGAAGATTGCGGTGTCCAGAGTCGTCACGATGCCCATAAAATATATATATAACAGGAAAACAAGTGTCGTTTTCAGTGTTTATACTTGTTGCTATAAACATCCTCACTCCACTAAGTCCACTTTATCCAAAAAAAAAAAAAGAATTCCAAAGTGATTCCGACAACTGTTTCATTGGGTTGGCATCACTAGGATCTGTTCTCGAGTTTCAGAAGCCTATACTGTTTTCGAATTGATAAAATAGCCCAAGTATTATGGGCCTATCTTAATTGATCAATTTATGGTTTAAATAATTTTTTCACTTTATTTTGTGTATTCCTCTCTATTTTTTTTTACGAATTACCATTCATATGTTTTCCATTGTTATATTGTAAGTTTAAATTTAAATTGGAATTTTACCATATAATTATATAAAAGGAAAATTCTACATTGCTCATCAACTCCTTGGGATATTTCTTCTAAAAAAATACTAAAACATATAAACACATTGAAATAATTACAAAAATTAACGCTGAAAAGTTAAATAGAAGTTTGAATAATTGGTGAAAATAAGGTTTGTTAATTTATTTTTGATCCTTCTCCAAGCCCAATGACATTAGCCCATTAAACTAAGCCCACATTTGTATTTTACTAAAACAAATAACACAGAAGATTCCTTTTTTGAAAGAACAGAGAGGTATTTCCAGTTGATTTCTGCTCTATGTTACTGCAATCTAAACCACCAAATTCAGATTGACAAAAATAAAAAATTAAAAGAAAAATTTAACGAAGTAATCAGTTTGTGTCATAATAATATATTAAAATACACTTTGACAAAAAAAATTTATAAGTTTTAAAAATAAATTATATCTTTTTTTACATGTATAACTATAAACCATAAAAAATATTTATTTTGTTATACAACAAAACACATATTTTGTAGCTTATTTATTACTATTATACGACTATTGTACGATTAGTTTATTATATAATTAAGACTTTTGAATTTTATAAAAATGTAAAAAAACGTTAATTTTGATAACATTTCGTTGAGATATGATAAATATATTTGAATTAATTCATAAACATAATACAAAACGTTTTGTTTCAAAATTATAATATCTTAGGTTATTGTTTAAGGAAGAAGTAGATATATCATATACATTTATTTATACTTCATCACAAACTTAACAAAATATGACAAATATTTAATACCAAATTTGTGATCAAATATTTTTATGTTTTTGAAAATGTTCATCGTCATTGGATGAAATCTCATCAAAATTAGCAATTTTTTTTAAGCTTTTACAAAATTGAAATGTCATAAAATTGAATTAAGATAATCGTACAATATTCGTGTTAAAGTCGTACATGTACTTATTTTATTATACAATAAAACAAATATTTTGTAACTTATTTACTACTATGATACGATATTGTACGATTAATTTATCACATAATTACGACTTTTAAATTTTATAAAAATATAAAAAAAATTATTAATTTTGATAACATTTCGTTGAGAGATGATAAATATATTCGAATTAACCCATAAATATGATATACAAAAATTTTTGTTTCAAAATTATAATACCTTAAGTTATTATTCAAAGAAGAAGTAATGTATCATACATATTTACTTATACTCCAATATATACTTAACAAAATATGACAAATGTTTAATACCAAATTTTTGTTCAAATAGTTTTATATTTTTGAAGGTATTCATGGTCATTTGACAAAATCTCATCAAAATTAACAATTTTTTACATATTTAGAAAATTAAAAATATCGTAAAATTGAATTAAAATAATCGTATAATGGTCGCATTAAAGTCGTATACAAGTTATAAAAAATGATTTGGTAGTATAATAAAAAAAATATCGTTTTTTTGTTACCGTCCATACACTATTTCTAAAAAATTCCAAAAATAATATACTATATTAATTTTATTTTATTTTAATCTAATATATTCTTTTTGCATGTTTTTTATTTGGAAAAGGGAGGATATTTTGGTATTTTTTATATGTAAGGATATTTAAGTAATTTATCATAAATGTGAGTTATTTTGAAAAAGAAAAATTTGCGTCATTTTTTAAAAAGTAGATAGAGAAATTGATATGGGTCAAAAGGGGTATTTGTGAAGTTTGTCCAAATGGGACTCCTTTGCTCTCTTCCATGGGGTTTTGAACCAATAGAACTCGGCCACGTCATGCGACAGAAAGGTTGTAAAAATTTGGAAAGCTAAATCGATTCGAACCGGCGCCCTCATCTTGCTAAAGCACCGGAGGACCAACTGAGCCGGGGACGATTTTAGAACTATCGTTCTTAACAGAAGCAAAACCAAAAGCAGTGTCGTTTCAGCATTCTCCCCCGTTTATACTTGTTGCTATAAACATCTGATCTCACTTTATCCAAAAAAAAAAAAAAGAATTCCAAAGTGATTCCGACAACTGTTTCATTGGGTTGGCATCTGTTTCTCGAGTTTCAGAAGCCCATACTGTTTTCGAATTGATAAAATAGCCCAAGTTTTATGGCCTATCTTAATTCATCAATTTATGGTTTAAATGATTTTTGTCACTTTATTTTGTGTATTCCTTGGAAAAGATTGCTTCTTTGAAGATTTTGTCTCGCCGATAGGACCTTGAAAAGAATAGAGAAGCGTTTAGACAGGAGCCGGGCTAAAGAATGGAAACATTTTCACTTGGATGGATAGAGAAAAAGTACCAGCAGAGCACTTGCAGGCCGTGAAGCACGAAGAGTTGGAACTGTCAGTGGTTACTCTCGGAAACCCATTTGCGGGACATAAACATGTCCATTCGAGGTTATCTGCTAACGATATGACACAGTCATGCCACGAGTTCTGTTGGAAATCTAAAGCCATGTCTGGTCAGAGAAATCGAAATTTCAAAGCCATACCTGGTCTGCAATCACATGACGTGGAACAGTTAGATGCCAAGACATCGCTTTGATTGTGCGAGGCAAAGCAAGTGCACGTCCAATTGCTCAACCCTATGCCAGAAACATCATCTGCATGCCAGAGGCCGATACTAAGCCATCTGACATATATTACTAGCTTTTGCAGACAACGAAACCATTATATTACTAAAAGTTAAAGTGCTAACCACCGAGACATTGCTGAATCAAGATCAGGCCGAAGAGATACACGAGCACAATGTCCACTCTGATCTTCATTTGTATTCGCTAGAGGAACTACACCAGAAGAAATAATTGCCAGTTGAAATGAACTTGAATCAGTGTTTGCAGAAACCAAAAGCTAATAGAAATCTATGAAGATTGCATGGAAGATGGTGTATAAGACCTTCATCTCAGTTTTGTTCCGCTGATCCAAATGAGGAACCTGCACCAGAGGGAACAAAGAAAGGGCTTTGAGGACAAGAGCTTGATGATAAATTATTACAGGAACTGACAGAGTGTTCATCAACCTGAAACGATCAAGTTAGATGTAGAATGTCAAGGAGAATCATAATTTTCTTCTCATCCTCAATAAGAATAACGGGAGAGACAAATCGTATAGAAAATATGAGAATCTATCTGGAAAAAAATGGTAAAGGAATCTATGGTTGGTCAACAGACGTAAAAAAGATTCAAACTCTGTTGCACCAACTGGGAACAACAACGGCATCCAAGAGCTTACACATGCAATCAAATCATTAAGATTAAGAACACTCAGGATCAGGTCAGACAAAATTAAACATACTTAAAGAGACTTCACAGAACAAGGGCCCAAAAACAGAAGATGAAGAAGAAGAAGAACAAAAAACACCAATCACTGAAACTAGTAGCTAGGATATAAAGAGCGCATCCATATATGGGTCACATCAATCATTAAAATGCATTGCCATGAACAATCCTGAGCTTTGCCGTCTTGTTCTGTTGCCTTGAATTCCCTGTTTAGTTATGTCGGCATAGATGGAGCATTAAAAAAAACTAAGTTAAAGGCCAAGAAGTTATGCTCTATGCTCCTGGAGATGGATCCAACATGCTTGAGCTTGGAAAGTAACACCAATCAGACCAAGAAGAACTCAAAGAACAAAATCAAATTGAAAATGAGAGAGGAACAGGAAAGAACAGAGCAATACCCAGTGAGCCTAAAGAGTGGAAGTGTCGTAAGAGCAAGACGATGAACATAACAGGAGAGGTATGATGTAATAATGATAATATTTTAAAAAAAATCAGATTATAGAATGACTGAGTATGAAATGTATTACACATAGTCAGATGACAAAATTAATGGAAAGAAACCCACCAACTACTTTCAGAAAGAAACCCAATTGCAGATGTGAGAGAGATCCCTCAACCATATGATAGCAGCAAACATGAACTCAAAAAAAAATATGTTCCGTAGTGAGCTCTGCTTTTTCCAATCTGTCCTGAAACACTTTGTTCTCTGTTCGGTTTCTATCCTTCGTTCCATCAGGAGCCGAAAAAGTGAGAGCAGAGCCTGCTTCGAACAAGCTCACGGAAATAGCAGAGAAAGGAGACACAAAGCACAAATAAAAATTTTAAAAAAGGCGAAAGAGAGTTGAAAGCCAGAGGAAAAACGAAAAGAGTTTGAGACAATTTTCAATATGGTATGGCACGAAGACCACACCATATTCCTAAACGCTCCAACGGACGAGAAAGAACATTCTAAACCCAGCAGGAACATAAAAGAAAAGAATTTCAAGAACAAGAGGCTCTATGCAGATTCTTCTTGATAATGGCTAAGTGCCATTAGATTGCAGGTTTTCAGGGTGACGAACCATTTACGTGGGCAAGATTCAAACCCAGCAGGAACATGTTTACATTGTCCCGAATTAACAGAGTATGAAATGTAGCAATCTAACAGAACATGAAAACCACAAGGAAGTTCTTGAATTACTGGGAACAAAAGGTGTTTTGTAAGAACAAAGTTTTGGCCTTTGGACTGAGAAGAGACTTACCCTTGAAACGAGCTTCATTGACACTTGTTGATGTTCTTTTGCAAATATTCCTTTCGCATACTTGTAGATCTCCACGTCCAGGTGGTTGAGCGTTATTATCCGCTCAATAACGTCTTCGGGAACCTTTTTTCGTGCCTGCAACAACGTTCAAGAACAAGATATTCCTGGAAATTTTTCTATACAAATTTTCCATGCCACCAATCTCATTAAGTTTACCTGTTCAAATCGTGTAAGAAATAAGAATGTTATAACTTACCTCTTTCGAAAAATTTGCTGGAGAAATCCTCTTTAGGGAATTAACCCGTCTTGTTGCTTGAGACTTCCTTAAATTAGAAATGCACCCTTCGTAAACTTCCATAAGGGTTTTGACAGTCATCTAAGATATAATTTATAGAATTAGATTGGTCATTAACTCGATCAGTCATAAATGCAAAAGGAAATACGGTGTTCTTTAATTTTTGAAGATGTACTCACATTCTCACTTTTAGTTTCTGCCTTATCCAGAGCTACTTCAGATGCATCATTCTATGATGTCACATACACTGTTGGAAAAAATATTACCCTAACCGACAACTGAGGAACTGTTGTGATACGGAGTTGGATTATACCTGGCGTTCACCATTCCCCGATCTTGATTCCGAGATTTTGACTCTTGGTTCCGCATCATCGAGAAAATGAAGTTTAGAGCTTTGTGCTCGGGAGCACAGCAATATACTTTGTGAGCATGTCTTTAGGTGTAACAAATGCAATAGATAGGCTCCACCAATCTTCTAACTCCACGAAACTATAATTAACTCGTGAATAAGGGTAAAAATACACTTGATGGAATTAGACATGTACAAAAAAGGATTGCAGAAACCTTCACAATCAGGGACAATTAAGACTTAGTCATACCATCAAGAACTGCTGTTTTTGGGTGAACTCATCATCGGTAATATTTGTACCCTCACCAAGAAGAGCATTTCCCATGTGATACAGGTAAAAGGGTAGCTTAAAGAATAATCCTTGCAACTTTCTTAAACTTAAGTTACTCGATATTCCAGCCACCATAATTCAGAACAACCCGAGAAAGCACTTGAGAACCCACTACTTCCGCAAAAAGAGATGCTGATTCTCTATGCTCCTCTGTCAGTCCAACGTACAGCATGCTGTCCAACCTCCTCTGCATGATTCCAAAACCTCTATTATCATATGTAAGATAGGCCAGAAAGGACAAGATAGATGCTCTTATGCAATGTGTTGGGTGAAAATTTTAGTTACCTTTGCAGCTTGAAGAACAGTTTCACCGAGGCTTTTAACATTTATTGATGACAAAATTCTCTATAAAAGCCGAACCCCAGAGAGATTCATAAGAATCTGCTGGGCCAAGATGTAATAAGACAAGTTCTCCCATGGAAATATCTCTGACAGTTAACAGACAAGAATTAGACTGGATGACTATTAGATATCGGCTGTATAATAATTTACAGCAAAACTAATGTGTTTATCGGATCGGATGAAATTGTTACCCTACTTGTTTTTCCCGAAACCTTCTTCTTTTCTTTCATTAGTCTATTTGACAATGCATTAGCTAGCTTGTACCAATTTCACCTAGTTTTTATCAATTTATATACATGGAAATCCACGTTCGTGATCTCGGCATATTTATATGCAATAAATATTTGGTGAAAATCTGCAAAAATCTCACATTTTGCACCTTAGATGATAAAGATACAGCAATAATGTATGCATAATGTTTCAAAAGAATCGGTGGCTTGCATCAAAATGTGTAAATGATAGTAATAAAAGTATATTATGAGATTCATGGGAAAATTCAACAAGATTATGATCAAATGAGCTTAACAGACTGGATTTGCTTAGCCAAAGAACAGCACTGGGTATGTCTAGGAAGTTTCCCTCTTCAAGACTCAATCAATATTATAATATTTAAACAGGTTACCATAAATCCACCAACCAGTATGTTCCAATAATCTCTATTTCTTTTCCCATAACTAAAGGAGGCTTGAAAATATGATCTCTGACAAAAGTGGAGCCATCTAAGCAAGGTTGAACCCATGCAATGAACTACCTATGCATATCATGCCAGGCTAAGCCATCTGCATTTCGGCTCTATCAATCCCCATAGACTACAAGGCTACAAGAAGCATAGTTAGAGCTTCTGTGTCAACTATATTCTCGTTTGCAAGAGCATCACAAGCTCTGGCATCCAATCAACCAATGGAGATAACAATGGAAGACCAATACAACAGTAGGGTTGATAGACATCAAAGAGAAACATATATAGTATAGTTTGGTGGGACGTACCTCGGATCGAAGTGGAGTTTATCATAAGAAAGGGGGCATTCGTCAGTGCTATCATACATCTTCCTCAGAAAACTACAAAAATCAGTAACAAAAGGAAACATGGGAATTAACACAACGGTCAAAGAAAATTCATTGTTCATTCTTTCAATCTACTGTAAACATCGGTAACAGAATATTACCAGTGAAAACATGCGAGCTTTTTTCCTCGCTGATGTTTTCTTCAAGAGAAGAAGAATCCACTCGCTTTCTCACAACTCTTTCACAATGAACAAAATCAAGTTCCTCGGCCGAAATGAGAACTGATGCAATCAAGGAAAAAGGCATCCCTTATAAACAGAAATCAAAGTGAAATGGGCTTGAAACGATATCTCTTGCTATCAATCAAGTCTTTCTCACACATTAACTCGATCTCTCTCTAAGTTTCCATAATCCACACCAAAAGGAGCTCTACACAGATGACATGCGACAACAAGAAAAAAAATACATCCTTTATGTACCTGAGCCAAGAAGCATGAAACCCAGAGCGAGCTGAATAGGATCCATTTGCATTGCTCCACTCCTAACTCTGCCGATCAGTACATGAAAAAACAATCAATCCCATTAAAGATTTGAGAAAAATCATTACAGATGGAACTAGAATCACAAAGTTCGTGTCAATGAAAAACTTCAGACAAGAATGTGCATCTTCATAGAAAAAGGCCGCGAAACAAAAGCCAGCGAACTCCAGAAGCGGATTCATAATCCAAAAAATGGAAAACCCTGGTTTTGTTTATATATCTACCTTTATGCCCCTCTCCAACCCTCGTTATTACATCCCTGCCCTTGAAAGAAAACCGGTCAAACCGGTTGTATGACACTTCTGTTCAGCTTAGATATCAATGATTTCGGATTGGTTTTGCTGTGATGGTGGAAATAATAATTCACCTGAACAAACATAATGGTAGAAATTATATAGATAACAATGGTGTCAAAATCTCAAATCATTGAAAAAGGAGAAATAGATCCCGACATATCTATTAGTCGCTTTTATGAACTGTTTGTCTCATGATGTCCGGTTAACGTGGATCTAGGGTTCCGACAAGTGGAAGATTAAACCAAAAAAAAAAAAGCAATTTCAGAGGGATTGTGTCCCCATAAAGCCCCAACCCTTTATATGAACAAACAGTTGGTTGATGTTTTTCCTTTTGATAGTTTCTGCTTAGCTAAAGAGGAACGAATAGAGAAAATGATTTTTACATGTTTGATGTGAAAGACAGCTCTTGTCTCAAACCCTAAACCTAACACATGCACGGTTTTTTTTTTATCCACCCTCCCCTTTTTTATTTTTTTATTTACATATTTTAATGGCGTGATTTTTCTTGTCGTCTTCTCGCTCATTGCACACTTGGTTTTTTTTGCCCATTTATATAAATTTTTTGTGCCCATATATCAATCCTTCACTTGATGGCACATCGATGCATTGGTTTCTCTTCCAATGTATATAGAATTCACTTGTATCATAAAATTCATAATTAGGGCCCGGCCCCTCTCGAGTTTTTGTGTGTTTTTCATCATTAGTATATTAGAATAAACGGGTTCATGAAAGAAAGAAAAAAGTTAAGCGTAATCATGGTTATGATTAAGATCTAAAACCATATATATATTGAGGGTTCTATGTCAATTATTTGTTAATTCTATATTGGAGGTTCTATGTTAATTATACTTATCTCTAGCATGTCCCATTCTTTATTCGGTTTAGATGTATACATTGATGAGATTTGACCATGACTATTGGGTTGTTGAGTGAAGTATACATATTGTACAAAAAGATTTTTGGTCCTAATTTTAGGAATAGACGTTGATAAATATATCACGTAAGTAATGATGTAATTATATATTTATTTGTGTTGAATTAGATGATAATTTGATGTAATAGATTTTCAATTTGTCTTTGACGAAAGAGATTAGCTTTTCCTTTGAAAGCAGCATGCTCCCATGATTTAGCCAATGTGCCTAATAATGGGTTTTATTAAGGTTTGTATTAACATTAGCAAAGTGGTCGGGTTTCTAAGCAACATCAAAGCTTTTTCTTGTTAATATTAATATAATTAGAAAATATTATAATTCGCGGGATATAAAGTTTCCCTTAATTGGACCATGATTAAGGCCACTCAACAATGTCCGCGGCAGAGCTAATGAAAAAACATTCAATTAAAGTATTTTTTTTTTTGAATTTTCCAAGAAATTATATATAGATGCTATTGCCTTATTTTTATTTCCATTTTTTTATGATAAATAGTCTACCAATTTTCTTTTTTCTTTTTTATTTTTTTGGGACTGTTTTTTTACGAAATGCTAATTTTTTTAACTGTTCACATTTTTCGTTTTTTTTGTATATATATTATATCGCCAATCTTATTTGAATGTGACTTTTGATTTGCGCTTAGATGCATGCACTACTGTTCTCTCATTTTTTTTCATTTTAAAAATTAAGAAATAAAAAAAGGAAACGTAAAGGATGCTTTATTGGGATATTTTTTTGGATTAATGATATGACGTTTAAGATTTTTTTTCTTTCGAATTCAAGATATTTTGAAGAGAAAAAGTATTGAGTATTTCAAATAATCCCCCTCCCCCACACACACACATATATATATATATATATATCGTTTTCTTGGTGGTAATACTTTGGTGTCAAAAACCAAATACTCTAACGTAGTTTCAAAATTAGCATTCTGATTCCCTAAGTATCCAAATCCTTAAGGTATCTTTTCAACTAAAGCTACCACCCAAAAAAAAATTCAATTTAAGTAATATCTAAGTTAATATTGCAACCAATTTATAGGAAAAAATTTAATAGATATCTAGATAATGCTATTAGTGCATTATATCAAAAATACTCTTACTTTGCTATTCTTATTTCAACACTAACTTTCTTTATCTGTGACCATGTGACCCATGTGATCCAAAATATAGTATGGTCACTAATTCATTATGTTTATATCTTATATATCTTACTAATCATTTGATCAACACTACCCTTCTCTATCTGTGATCATGTGACCCATGTGATCCAAAATATAGTATGGTCACTAATTCATTATGTTTATATCTTATATATCTTACTAATTATTTGATTAAAACATCATAAATTTAACGTTATGAGTAATGAGATCAACATGTGACCACACTATATTTTGGATCACATGGGTCACATGGTCACAACTGGAAAATGATATGTGTTGAAGTAAGAATAGCAAAATAAAAGTATTTTTGATAATGCCCCTATTTAATGCAGAGTTAATAGTAATTATGAAATAATCTACATAATTTTTTTTTTTATAATATTTGACTCAGGTGGGATTTAAACCCTGTGGTAAGTAGCAAATAAAATGACTCAAAACAAAATGATTTTTCCTCTTTATTTTATTTTTCTGTAGAATCCCAGTAATTTTTACTCAAGAACTAAAATAGTTAAAATTTTCATAGATTTCTATATTATACAAATAATCTAGTGAATTAAAAATGGCATAAATCTTTTCATGATGCAAATAATTTTAAGCCTATGTAGGGCCATCTCATCTTGGTTATAGTTTACACATACTTTTTATTGAAATCATATTTAGTTTTTTTTAATTTATAAAAAACAAAGTTCAACAAATCTAATCATACACAACTTGTGAGAATCTAAGCATTTTTTACTCTTATTCACTTTTTTTTTAATAATTCGGAAGTTCACCGGACGTTTAATCCGATTACATCTCCAAGAAGACTGGAGAAACCCAGGTGAATACCCCTCTCCACGCTTGGGTTTGAACACAGGGTGAAAGCATGTTTTTTTTACTCCTATTCACTTATCTATTTTACTAATTATGATAAACATATTATTTCATAAAATTATTTTCAAGTTGTGAAAATTTTTACCTTATAAAGAAGGGAAACTCTTAATTTATTTACTTGGTTGATTCAGATTGAAATATTTTTTTATAAATCCTCTTAAAACAATAACATAAATTGTAGTATTTAACGGGATCATATTTTATTATACTATTTTCATGTCATGACATTTTAATGTGAATATTATAGTGGTATGGTTATGCTCGTCTCTTAGTAGATAGTTTCAAAAATGGAAATGGTCATTTGAAAACGTTGAGGAAGTTCAATCTATGGAAAATAAAATTATTATATATAGCCATCCAAAAAAATTGAATAAAAAAAATAAAATTTTAATGATATGAAATCCCATAAGAAAAAATATATATTTATATAATAGTTTGAGTTACTTTAGATATGGCTCGAAGAAAATATCTCATCTAATCTTTAACATTGATTTGATTTTAAGGATAATCTAATTTATATATATATATATTGTCAAAGCTAATTTATATATTTTAGTTGATGGAAATGAACAAACTGATATATACATGAAATAAAAAAAAGGAATTTATGGAATTATCCTTTAATAATATCTAGAAAGCCACTTTTAAAGTTGCATGTATATACATGTGGTGCTTTTGCTCACCAATCACCGTCTCCCATGCTATATTCATATATTACACATAAAAATGAGTAATTAATGAATATATCTTAATCCAAATTTAATAAGGTATAATGTATACAAACCCATATATAATTCAATGCATGATATACTATTGTTTAACCACGTAAATTCGCAATATACCCAAATAAATGAGACATAATTAAGTTCAAATTTTCATACAATTGATTGGAAATAATAATTATTTTGAGCTATTTCTTTTCAAGAAAATGATTTTCCTAAAGAAGTATTCAGGTTTATTAGATTTCTTCCTTACATTCCCGACCAAAGGAAAAAAAAATCCATTCCATAGAAATTCCTTAAATTCTTTGAAACTCATATATTTATAATTTATAATTCATCGTTCTTCTATCCCTTTCTTTTCATATTTCTCTTCCTAATCTATTATTTTCGCAAATCTAAATCTCTTAAATAACTATTTTTTTAATTTTTAAAAAACATTAAAAAATAAAAGAAGATATCTCAAGAATCTTGTAAAAGCCATAACAGTATCATTGATCATTATACTAAATCGATATTTATTTATGCATAAATTGCCTTGCCCTCTCATTTATTTTCCTTTTTTTTGTATGTTTAGACAAGTTAAGAAAAAATATATATGAAAAGAAACAGATATGGAAAAAAGATATGTTAAAAACATACAAACACACTAATAAGATAATTAGATGAATATTTAGTTTAAAATTTTAGAAAAAATTAACATTACTAGAAATTGAAAAACATACAAAAATCATCTGCTGCTGCTATTATTATTATTATTATTATTACCCGATATGTAATTCATCTTTATACTTGAAAATTGCTATTGAAATCGTCAAAATTAAGCGATCAGTATACATATTTTTTTGACGTAATTTATTATTATTCCATTACCATGATATGAAAAAACTAGTTTTTATAATTAAAATACTCGCAGCCAAAAGGAAAAAAACAAAACTTTAGGAGGCATCCAACGTGTCGTTTAATGATTGGATATTAAGGACGGATTTCCAAGTAAGAAACAGAAAAATTCCACGTGTAGCCTCTCTCGTTTCCACTATTTATATTCTCACGAGTTCTTTGCTTTTTAATTGATTTATTTCCTCTTCTTCAAAGTTCAAATCTCTCTCTCTCTCTCTCTCTCGCGAAAGGTAGCCGTTCCTTCACTCCAACATCAAAGCGAGGAGCTTCACTGGTATGTTCATGGCGCATCCCTCTGATTTTTTTCCTTCGTCGACTTGGTGGATAGGAAATGGCAGGTTTTTGGATTTTCTTGGAATTTTTTGAATTCGAAGACGATTTTTTTTCCTGTGGTGGCTTTAATCAGATATCCGAATTTTGGCCTCGATCAAATTTCTGTTATCTGAAATGGATTTCTGTGAGAGATTTGTGGATCCTTTTGGAATGAGGGTTTAATTGGAGGCTTGTCTCGATTTCTTCGCCAGTTTGATGTTCGTGTGTGGACGGGAAAGGGATGAGGACCGGAAATTTAGGGTTCCCGTTTTCCCGAGTTTTGTTCCGAAATCTTTCTGTTATGGAAAATTTGGAAGGCCGTAGTTTGAAATCTTAGATTCCTTTTTTTTATGAGGTTTTAATCGGCAATCAAGCAGTGGGTCAAATTTTTTTGGCGGAGAATTGTATGCGTAGTTGACCGATTGTGGATGCGTTGAGTCATTTTCTTTGTTTGTTCGGTTCTTCAATGAATGGGATGAAACTGCCAATTTGAATGGAAAGAAATTGTAATTTAGCTTTTCGGAATTTGGAATCTACCTAATTGGATTGTGAATTGTTTGGCTTTCCAGGTGTTTGAACCTGTATTTTATGTTCCATTTTCAAGTCAAAGAGGTAACAAGCTCTACAAAGGGAAGGAATATATGGAAGTGGAACTGTGGAAAGTGTTTTTTCGGAAGATAAACGCGTGATTTGATGCAACACGGCTTTGAAATTTGTGGTGCAATGGTATACCTGAGGTGTTGGATTGATGATCTTGGCCTTAGCATTTATTAGAAAATGATCTGATCTGTTTGGAGGAGCCACATTTGTGTATGTTTTGTAAATAGTTTTTGACTTTTCCTCTGTTTTAGGCTAATGGGATTAAGGGTTTGAGTGTTGATTGAATTAATGGCCATTGCCGGTCCACAAAATATTTCTGTGATTGATCCGCGTTTCCCTGGGGACTCCCAGACTCGGACATCCAGACAGAGGGAACACGATGGAAGGGCAAGTGTCCGGGCATCCTCACTCCTGCAGATGTGGAGGGAGCTTGAGGATGACCATGTGATGGGTCATGCCCGAGAGAGAGATGGTGAGAGATGGCTCCAACGAAGGAGTGGTTCTTCCACTTCCAATGTTTCGAGGGGAGATGCTTCTGACAATAATGGAGAGCAGGATGTTGTTTTAGATAATGGAAATTTGGGTGAGAATGAATTTGGTGGATGGTCCCCAACCCCGAGTCATGTTGAATCACACAACTCAAGTGAGGATCTTGGCCTATTTCAGAGTGAGCACTCGTCAGATCTGGGGATGGTTGAAAGGGAAAGA